CTCTGAAGCTGAACCTGAGCCACTCGCAAGGCTTGTGCAGCCGAGACGGCGAAGAGAAGCCCGTAACGCTGAACGGACTCGGTAATTCACTGCTGTTCCACCAGCCTCCGAACCGCCCCTCTTTCTCCTTTCCCCCATCTGAGAAGGAAGAATATTACCAGTGTTTTCCTCCAGAATTACAATAATCCTTGGAGTGATGGCCAACAGCAAAATAGATGTTACTGATGTAAAACCTAGTATTTTAAAGGTGAAGTATTCCTGCAAACTAGTGACTGCATCGGAGAGATTTCTGGGGCTTGCCCACTCCGTAGCTTCCAATGTTAAAACAAAATAAATACAGTATACGTTTAAAATACTACTACTACTACACACTGCAGTATTTCTGGTGGCGATTCCTGCCCAGGCCCTTCCCCGCCTTCCCCAGGAGGAAGGGCGCCGGGCAGAGGCGCCCCACGTCCTTGTAGAAGTTGGCAGAATGGTGATCGGTGGTGTGTAAAACGTGTCGTTGATTCCATGTATAGAACTGTGATTTCAGCTGTCGTTCTCTCGTACTCTGTAAATATGTGTTTTGGCTGTCGGAAACCTGGTTTAGACTCTTTTCTTGGCAGAGTGAATTTGCATGTGGGGCTGGAAAGAACTCAATCTGTGTCAGAGTTTCCAAGGGCAGGATGGATTTTTTTTTTTAGAGGACAATAAATTTTTATTTTTTTGCTAAGAAAAAAAACCCCTATAATAAAGCAGTGTGTGCATGTGTGTGCGCGTGGCCGGGGTGTATGTGCAGCCCTGCTCCGGGCTTGGGGAGGCGGGGAGAGGTCTGTGCGGTGAAGGCCTCAAAATAACAGACGGAATTCATCGCTGTGGCTGGTTTTGCCTTCTCCCCTTCGCACAACCCAGAAGAATTTCTTCCCGAGCTCCCTTCTGGCTCAAGGCCCTTTTGCAGGGGGTTGCCCCTCGCCTTTGTGCTCGAGAGGCGACGGCGGCGGGGGCGAGGCGATGCGGTGCCGTTCGGTGGGGCAGGGGCTCCTTTGGAACCGGCAAAGCCACAGGGCAAAGAGCGTTTTAGCACCCGGATTCGTGGTGCGGACAAGAATTTATCTCGAAGCATCTCCCAGAAGAGCCAGGCTGGGCAGAGACATTTAAAGTTATGACATTTATGACATTTAAAGCGTTACAGACACAGTTTCATGCGTTGGTACCCAAAAGACCATGCCTTACGTACGGAGCCAAGAATTACCTTTTAGCTTTGGTCTAATTAATGCCTCAAAGCTGCAGCAGCCGCTTACCCTTAGTCCAATCGCAACAATAGTGCGAATCACCCGGTTGGTGTTACAGCTTAGTGGTAACGCAATAAAATCGGTAGCCGTAAGTGCCTGCCCCTTCCCTCTTGTGCTGCCGCAATCTGCCTGTGTCGGGCTGCTTCACCAGGAGGAGGAGGATGGGGATTTCTTCCTCCTCAGCCTTCCATTTGCTAGGAGCTGGTTTTGTGTGCTTTAAGACATATTTTTTAATGCTTAGGCTGGGCTCCTCCTGGTCCATGGGGTTAGTTACGCTCCCATCGTTCAAGGTTTATTAGTCCTTCTCTGTAAAGGGGATGATTTCTTTTGAGGTGGGAGAAGACCCACACACCTGCCCCGAGCGGAGCAAAAATTAAGCTAAAACACCTTGGATAATGAAGCGCAAACCTCAACCCAGAGGTCGGCCCGCGCCCCCGGCTCGCTGGGACTCCTGCCTCTCGCCGCAGGGACAGCCCGCCGGCTGCGCAGCCCGGTACGGCACAGCCATTTCAAAACAGCTAAACGTAGGCTGG